CCTCTCTTTGCACCCTAAACCCAGCCCTGTCTTCCATTTATTTTCTCCGATTATTTCTTCAGCTTCTCATCCGTCATTTGTCATGAGAGGTAAGATTTGTAGAAGTTGTAGTTTTCTCATTTTTGCCAGACTAGGTTAGATCTGCTCATTTTTAGATTTCTTTATTTAATTTACGCCGGAATAGGTTATCTTGATGTTGCCTTCAAACAAAAATAATTTCTTTATGTTTGGATCCTTTATTTTGTTTATTGCAAATTTGTTCACAGATTGTGCTCGTTTCAAATGAGTTCAACAAATTCTTCTGCTACGAAAGACAGGCACCCACGTTCTCAAGTTTACTGCTATTATCACCTTCAGTGTGCGTTATATACTTGCTACCGTGGACCCAATTCTGAAAGGCAATTTTATAGATGCCTGAATAATCAAATGGAAGATGATTGCAAGTACTTTAAATGGACATACGACGTAGAAGAGACATCTTATGGTACACATACTGAAGTTGAAGGCTTTGAAGCTAGGATGTATAAGAAGCTTGACTTGATCATCTTGGGATGAAAGTCTTTGTTTGTGTTGTTCTTGTTGACATAACTATCCGTATTTATTTAGTTTAATGTGTCGTGTCGAACTATCTAAATGATGTAGAAGTCCTGTGAAGACTAACTCGCATTATGTACGTTGAAATATGTATGGTTGATGTGTACTTGTAATATGTTTTGATGAACTCTATTGCACCATTTTGTAAGTTTTTGACTAGTGAATGAATGATATGAAATTTGTATGGTTGTTGGGTGCTGAATGAATGATCACCTTGCAAAACCTGAAATTTGCTTGTTGCTGAATGAATGATCTTCTTTAACACAAGTAGTTTTTAACTTATATTTTGTATAAATAACCAAAATTTGTTGTTTGCTGAATAAAAATTGTGTCGATCTGCTTGTGTTAAACCGACAGCTTAGTAAAAGTTTCATGTTCTAGTTGATATGCTTGATGGTACAATTTGTCAAACCAGAAATAGACACGAAATTAACTAGCTCGAGTTGATATGTTTCATGCTTCATGCTCCAGTTGATATGCTTCATGCTTCATGCTCCAGTTCGTATACAAAGAGCTATTTTAACTAGCTAAAAAAATAGACCAAATCTATTATACCAAATCATACCAAATCTAACTGCTGTACCAAAATAAACCAAATCTCCTGTACCGAATCAGACCATATATGGTGTTAGGAAATTAACTAGCTATTGACCACATCTGCTGTACGAAAATTCAAAAAACTGTTTTAACATACATGTATAAAAAAGCAAGGAGCTGTTTAGCCAAAAAATTAAAATAGATGTATCAAAAAATAAGGAGCTGTTTAGCCAAAAATTAAAATAGCTATATCAAAAAACACAGAGATGTTTAGTCAATGATATCATCCCTAACAAACCAGCCACGTATGAATACTCGAAATCTTCAAGTTGTTGATCATTTGTATTCCATATGTTGGGCAACTTTGTACGTCTTCTCTGTCCAACTGTTGTTCGCATATTCTCCTTGTAATTGTTATTTTGCAACGGGTTTTTGCAAGCACTCCTATGATGCCCCCATAGACCACATCTTCCACACCTATGTGACCTCTTATCTTGCTCCAAGAAATTAATAATTTTTTTCCTAGGTCTTCGTCTTGGTCTACAAGTGTTCGGTACACCAACATGCTCAGTATTCTTTGTAACTCGGCACTGGTCCTTTCAATGTAATGTGGAAATTGCTTCATCATATGCAAGTATGTACCTAGAGCATATGCCACAAAAAGTAGATAAATTAGCGATTGTTGTATGCAAATTATTATTCATATGTATATAAATTACCTGTGAACGTGGTAGTAATCATCAACATACGTATGCCACAAAGGATGTTCTTTCATACCAATGAAAGCCACAACGTGAATGCAAGGTAGGCCAATTAACTGCCACACTCTACAACTGCATCTTCTTCGTTCAATATCAACGATATGTCTCGAATGGAGTCCCTCTACCTCAGCCTTGAAAAGGCTAGATTGCCAAACAACAAAATGGTCTTTCCGTGTAGTGATATTTCTAATATATTCCTCCACATTTGGGACTAACTCATGTTGCCAAGTCAAGCTACTCATCTTCCGCTGAGCTCTTTGCACCATAAGTTTTCCCCATATCATATCTATGAGGTCCACAACAGGTTTGGTTCTAGCATCATTAACACATGAGTTAAATGACTCGGCAAAATTGTTTGTATTGGCAGCATGACATATCCCAATCATGAATTGACTCCATGAACACTTACATGGTAAAGAAACAAGATACGAGTACATTGCTTGGCTCAACTAACATAGTTCCTCTAGCTTCTCATTGAACTATATACTTGTGTAAGCATTAGCTGCCTCCCAAACAAGTGCATGAACTTTTTGGCCATCTTTACAGTGGAATTTTTTTTAATGTTCTTCCACAAATGGCGAATACAAATTCTATGCTCAGCTTCAGGATATACATCTTTTATTGCCTCTCCCAAACCCTTCTTCATATCTAATATAAAATACAAAGAACTTAAGGAAGTACCAATTTTTTCTCCCAAATTTTGGAGAAACCATTACTATGTTTGTTTGGATTCAGTCTCGACAACAGCGAATGCTAAAGTGAATAAGCTATTATTTCTGTCAAGGGAGTTGGCCGACAGCAGCACACCTAAGTACTTCGATTTATGATGGCATGCATCCAAACTGACAAGTGGTATGCACCCAACAAGAAATCCATCAGCACATACCTTAAAACTAACATAAAACCTTTGGAATGAATGATATTCACTATTAAATGCATATGTTATATGTGATCCTGGATTTCTATGAAGGAGTTATGCAGCCAATGCTGGAATCCATTTGTAGTTGTCATCAACTGAACCAAATAAGGCATCACGAGCTTCCTCTCTTGCCCTCCAAAGCTTCATATAAGGTAAGGATAAATTAAACTCTTTTTCTAGACTACTATTTATTTATTTTGGTGGAATATCTCGGTACCTCTTCACCATCTCCTGAATCTCATTGGCAACCCAAGCAGATGTTGCCAGCCGATTCCCAGCACGATTTATCCCAAGGTACGTGTGTACTCCATCTACTCTCCTAACTTGGAAAGATTGAGTGTCTTCACATAAGAAGGCACGAATTCTCCATTCACAACCTTTATAAGAACAAGTTGCAATCACACGTTTCTTATCGCTGGATTTTATCTGCACCCCAAAGTTCTCCTTTATGGCAACTGATTAGAGAGCATTCTTGAAACTTTTTGCATCATTAAAGAAGGTGTCAATACCTATATCTATAACACTTGTAGTTGGAACACCTGAAATACAACAATTATGGATAACAGAACATTCTGTCATATATTCAGCACTGACAAGCACCTTGAGGTTTGTGTTTGATTGCTCTCTATCTACTTCTTATACTGAGATAACTAACTCGACATAAAAATTTTCACTTGAAAGTTTAACCATCTCTACCACATCAACGTCAGAATTTATCATTTTGTATTCCTTCAGCAATGTTCTGTGAATGTGATAATGCATACTATATTTATGTCATTTAAGCCATGGACATATTATAAGAATCTCTATTTTGAGCATAAATAAATTCATACATCTTTTCTCAATTTTGACAGTTCTTTGTTTGCCACAATTATATCTCTTTCTAAAGTGGTCATTGGTGTCAACCCAAAATCCTCCATATTTAAATGTAACAAAAAATGCTCTTCCTTCTCTCAGTCTCTCAACATAAATCATTTCCTACTTCTTCATAAAAATCCATTCTACACGAAGTTTGTCACCCACTAGAAATTTCTTCTTCAACTTTGAACTGAGAAAATAAGACAATTTCAACACCACTTTTTTTTACATAAACCTGAAATAATAGGGTAATTTTCATCTTAAAAAAAAACCAAAACAATTACTTAGATCAAACCTAATCCGCTGAACAAATAAATCAATTTGGAATAGGGATTTTGGAGACAGATAAGTGCAACTGTGTGATGAAATAGAAGAAGGAAGAGAGATAAATGCAGCTATGCGACTTCAGGTTCGCTGTAACATCTGGACGGGATTTAGCTTTCACGTAGGAAACCTAGGGAAGAAGAAATGGAGAGAGACGGAGTGACATCTTTGAGTTTAAGGGGTTGTTTGGTAACGGATTTACAGCGGGATTTAAGTCGGATTTAAGCTAAATCCAACCAAACGGTTTTACAGCGCGCCTTAAATCCCAGGATTTATTAAATCCCGGATTTACGGATTTACTGCTTAAATCCCGGATTTACTAAATCCCTCAGTTCGGTGGATTTAACGGGATTTAAAGTTAGGCGGAAAACTTACCAGCACCGCCCCTGTCGTGAAGCTCTACCGTTGCCCTTATTTACCGAAAGGAACGAAGCCAGCGCTCTACCCCGTCGCCTCAACCTCTTTAATTTTTCTTCTTCTTCCCCAGAGCGTTGCTCCGACTCATCCTCTCCCATATTTCTTATTCTTCCCCAGATTGTTGCTCCGACTAAAACCTCTCCCATATTTCTTTTTCTTCCCAAGATTGTTGCTCCGACTAAAACCTCTCCCATTTTTCTTCTTCTTCCCAGAATTGTTGCTCCACTTCCTCAGACATGCGCTAAACAACTTTTTCCTTTCTCTGATTTTTGGCAGGTGAGAGCTTCTTAACGTGGTGTTTTTTTTATTTTTCCTGAGAGTTTCTTAATTTTTTTTTTAAATTTTCGCAATGTGTAGGTAGACTAACATATTTCATGTGTTTTTTCTTTAAAATTTTCTTACTGATGTAGGATCTGTATAAAAATCTGCATAACTTTTGGTACTGTACTATTTCCATCTTATATTAAATTGTTAAGCAAATTTCTTTTCAGTTAAATGAAGTTGTCGTAGTTCATATATCTGTAAGTCCATTTTTTTAACGCTACAAATAATTGATTGGTAGTACGTTTGTTAGGCTAATTAAAATCAGAATGAAGCGATCCTTTTACACCGAATTTGACAATGATATTTTTGATTCCGTGAGCAACAACGAGTCATCTAATGCCATATATCTCAAAAATTATGGTTCTCATCTTGATTGGAGAGTTTTTCAAGGACGAAAGGGTATTACTCATGAATATACTCTATATAATTAAATTGAAAGTGTGGGGTCAAATGAATTATCATTTTACTACATATTGCCTTAATTTTTTATAGAAATGAAGAGGTTTCTTAAAGGGAAAGGGTTAGTTCATGGTAGCTCTAGCTCCCAACATAATGTAGATGAAGTTATCTCCAACAATCCTAAAAGCACGTATAGAAATCCTAGGTGGCATGAGGAGCACAATGTTGTGCTAGCCAAGCTTCTATATGAGCAATTCGTACATGGAAATATATGTAATGGTAACTTAAGGAAGGAGCAGTGGCCGAATCTTGTTAACGTCTTGAATAGTCGTTTGGGTACATATTACACAATCTTTGGTCATGATTAGATTCAAAAATATGAAAGCTAATTTCCGTACACTATATCAACTAACAAATCGAAGTGGTTGGGGCTGGAATGAGGGATTACACATACCAATTGCTACTAAAGATCTTTAGGAGGAAATTGTTCAGGTAAATATTTAATTATGCAATTCTACTCTTGATTAACCGTACATTAGGATGACTCATTTCTTTTACTGGTACTATAGGTTACACCAAAGCTTTCACGATATCGTCGGCATCCATTCCACCAATACGAAATTTTTGAAAAAATTTGCGCAGATAATATCGCAGTGGGTAACGGTGCTAGATCCAATAAGAAAAAATCTGCAACAGTAAATTTAGAACAAGATGAGACGCCCCAGTACGAAGATGACTTTCTCACTGCTAATAGTGTAACATTTGAATTTGAAGAAACTCCAACAAGCAACTTGCCTGAGGCAATTGATGGGTTAACTCCAAACCCAGAACAACTTGGCATTTTCTTACGTGGTGTTGCCCATGTACACAGCTATCGACAATTATGCGAGCTTTTTCAACATTCATTAGAAACAGTTAGCAGGTACTTTAATCAAGTTCTGAAGGCAATTATGTCTTTGTCGGATGAATTTATAAGTTTACATACAGTAGATGTTGATTGTCATCCATTTATACGTGCAAATGAACAATTTCACCCATTCTTCAAAAATACGGTTGGAGCGATAAATGGTACACATATTCCAACTGTCGTAAGTACTCATTTACAAAATCGATATTGTAATCGTAAGGGATTTACATCACAGAATGTAATGGCTGCAGTGTCATTTGATCAACAGTTCGTATATGTAGCATCTGGGTGGGAGGGATCTGCTGCTGATATGCGTGTGCTTAGATGGGCAGTAGAACAAGGGCAGTTTGAAGTACTACCCCGCAACAAATATTTTTTGGTTGATTCTGGTTATGCAAATACTGATAGACTGATTGTCCCATTTCGCGGATATCGATATCATTTAGCAGATTATCGTGGAAGTACGACAAGGCGATACGCTGCCGAGCAAGAGTTATTCAATCACCGTCATGCACAGCTACTCAATGTGGTAGACTATCGAACTTTTGGGATTTGTAAGGAACATTTTCAGATTTTGACGCACATGCGATAGTTCCCTATCAGTGTTCAAGCAGATATTGTATTAGCAGATATACCCTAAGTTTGTGTTTGAGTGGTATATATGAAATATTTAAATTTTAGATGTTAAATATATAATATGAGTGTTATATAGTAGTATGTATGTAAAAACCCCATATAAAAAACTTTCATTCATCGTTAAAAATAATTTTATTTAAACTAATTTTTTGCACAGATGCCATCAAATAAATATATAACGATATGTTTAGCAGTGCAGCGTAAGGTATCTTGAGTATCAGCTACCGCGCTCACAACCCAATAGTTCGGTTGAGGTAATGGCCGCTATAAATTTGGAAGAGTTTGAAAATTGTGATATCCTTTCTTCCATCTCAAGTCTAACGCAGTCCTATCAATCTAAACCCTAGACTACCTTTACCAAGCAATGAATACATTACCAAAGCTTTCCCTTTTCCCATTCCAATGCAATCCTATGACCACTCTATCCTTTCCGACAAGCTCTCCTCTTTCCTCAAAGGAAGCCGGCTCGCCGATCCTAGGGCCGTCCACGGCCTCGCCTTCAAACTCGGCTGCATACTTTCCTCCATTTTCCTATCAAACAATCTCCTTTATGCATATACTTCAAGTTCTGTCACGGACGCCCACCGACTGTTCGACGAAATTCCCCACCCAAACTCCGTTACTTGGTCCATAATGAACTCGGCTTACGCTCATACGTGCAGGATCAACGATATCATTTTACTGTTCAGGAGAATGCTCAATTTAAGGATTTTGCCTAACAACTTTGTGTTTGGTAGCATCTTCACTGGTTGCGCTAATGGCAGAGATTTACAAACTGGGATTCAAATACATTGTAGCGCCTTCAAATTTGGCTTTACCCAGCATACATTTGTAGCTGGCACAATGATTGATATGTATTCGAGGTGCGGTAAGGTAGGGGAGTCATGGAGAATTTTCAACGAGACTTTAGAGAAAGATGTGGTGTCTTGGACTACCGTGATCACCTGCTTGGCGAATTGTGACCGGCATGAATGCCCGGTGTCTGCCTTTGGGGTGTTCAGGGAGATGATTTGCAGGGCAGTTTGGCCCGTAGGAATGACGTTTGTAAGTGTTCTTAAGGTTTTTGACGAACCTGAGAAGCTCAGACAAGCAACCCAAGTGCATGGATGCATGATTAAGCTCGAGATTGAATTGGATGGTCCATTGGGGTCGGCGCTTATTGCAATGTATGGGAGATGTGGAGGGATGAAAGAAGCAGTTAGAGTCTTTGACAGGATTGAAAATGATGCAGTCTCATTAAATTCACTGTTGGTGGCTTACATGCAGAATGGTTACTATAAAAATGCGGCATTTTTGTTCAAGAAAAAAATAGAAGAAAAGATGGAAGTCGATCCATTTGTTGTTACAAGCATGATAGGGGTTTTCTCAGCTTTGGAGGATATTGGTAAGGGTAAAGAAATTCATGCTTATGTCATTAGAAATGATTTCTTTTCAGATGTGTCAGTTGGCAATTCACTGATAACACTCTATGGAAGATGCAAGGAAACTAAAATGGCTGAGAAACTGTTTCAGTTAATGAAGATTAAGGATGCTATCTCTTGGACTGCAATGATGACTTGTTACAGTCAGAATGATCTTGGAAGAGAAACTTTCTCATTGTTCCTTCATATACTACGTGAAGGGAAAAGCCCACCTATATTTTGTATCACCAGTGTAATTTGTGCTTGTTCTACAATATCAAGCCTTCATTCGGGAGAACAGATGCATGCAAGGATTGAAAAAATGGGGTTGGATTCTAGCCTATTTGTTGCAAACTCTCTTATAACCATGTATGCGAAGTGCGGAAGCATAAACTCTGCATTTACTGTCTTTGATTACATGAATGAAAGAGATATTATCTCTTGGAATGCAATGATCATGGGATTTTCACGGCATGGTTTTGTGAAAGAAGCTCTACATTTATTCAGTGAGATGCAGAAGTCAGACGTTAAGCCCGATGAATTCACTTTCACTGGTATTCTCGTCTCTTGCAGTCGTGTTGGTCTAGTTGCTGAGGGTTGGGAGTACTTCAATATGATGACTGAGCATTATGGACTGGAGCATAGGATGGAACATTATGGTTGCATGGTTGATCTCCTTGGCCGTTCTAACAAGCTTAATGAGGCTATGGACTTCATTTATGCCATGCCATTTGAACCAGACAACTTAGTTTGGGAAACCATGCTTGCATCATGCAAAGTCCATGGTGATGCAGAACTAGTCAATTATATTGCAAAAAGGATATTGGAAATGAAACCAGAAGATGCTTCACCGCACATTTCTTTATCCACTATGGATGCTTTCATGGGCATATGGGATAGCAAGGCTTTACACCGAGATAAGGTGAGGAGTCTAGGACTCTCAAAGGAACCAGGGAGAAGCTGGGTTGATGTACATAGTTGGTTGAAAGATCTGGAAACAGGGGAACCTTATAGCACTGAAGGATGTCGTGCTGCTGCCTGACATGCAATTGCAGACTTTTGGTGTAACTATTGTGGTAAGTCTTTGCTTTTGAATTGAAATGAAGCAAGTTCCTACTCTTTTTATGATAGTCTGGTTATGGAGAAAGCTTTTATGTTGTGGATTCCTTTAATTAAAGCAATCATTTATTTGAGCTGAGAATGCTAGAAATGTCTTCAAATGTATTTACTTGTAAAGTAGCTTTTCGATTTGATTATCATATGACAAAGCGAAAGCGTACAAGGATTTCATAAATGGTTTCAAATTTTGGATTCAAGGCTAAAGAATTCAAGTTAGCTTTACAAACTTTTTTATTTCATTTTTCCAGCTTATTTTGTTTCTTAAAGACACCAGCAATCAAATGCGTTAGTGGAAAGCCCAGGGACTCCAGGCAATATATTCTCCACTAGTTGATTGCAAACCATTTTGCGATGGATTTTAAATCTGAGCTTATGATGGTATCCTTTCCATAACATACATAAGCTGTGAGAAGAACAGTTTTGAAATCTAAGCATTGAGGCAGTTAATTGGCCCTCAGGTATCTTTTGTTCTGCGAGCATTTTGGTCACCTTGAAGATCTGAATAAGAGTAGCTTGCAGGTTAGCATGGTACTTCACTTTTCCACCAGTTTAACAAGAAAATAGCATGAACAGATGAGCACTCAACATATTAGGGCAAAGCAGGCCTTCCTGGTCTTCATGGAATCTGAAACAAATGAAGGATCTTTGTTCTTTATCTTGATCAAGCTGCAAGCGCGCAATCAGGCTGTTTCTGAACACGTCAAAACGTGTTCTATCCACTTCATCCTATTTTCAAGTTACAGCAAGCATGTTTTAAAGGAGAAGTGATTAGAATACTTGTGAGGTTCTGCACCAGAGAAATTCTCAGCAGAAAAAAATTGTAACTTCTCGATTATGATTCATCTTTCCAACTCCAGATGTAAGTCTTTGATACCTGGTTTTAGAATGATTAGCGTTTATTTTACTGATATATTGACATATTATACAAATTTATCAAAGCACTGCTAGCAAATAAATTGATAGAATGATTACTTTCTTAGGAGGGCATCAAGTTTCTTACAATGCGCCAATCAGCTAGGTGACAACAAGCACCAAACCCCCACCAAAATATTTTGATTGATCTTCCTTAAGCAACACAAATTGAGTGAAGTAAAAGAAAAAAAAAAATCTATTTGCCCACTTTAGGCCTGCTTGTCATTCCCTCTGCCCATTAGCAGATCCGCTGGCATGCTCTCCTCCATAAGAATGGTATCCGGCAAGGGTCCTTCCGATTGCTTCTTTGGTGCTCTAACAAGCAGCTTTGACATCGGCAGATCATTATAGTCTTGGAGGTGAAAGTGGGCCTTTACGGTTGAGGCTTCTTTTATGTGCGGCGGCTTCTTCCTCCTCCATTCTTTTTGCAATTTTTTCTTCTTGATTTCCACTCAGATCTACAAGGGGCCTAATGGCCTGTGGCCTCACAGACTTGGCCATGGATATTAGCGTGTTCCTTCCTTTAAATGGCCATGGAGAAGCTTCGCCACTGTATCAGTCCTCACCCCACCTCAGATGAAGTAGAAGGGTCTTCATTTTTCTTATGTTCCTCAAAATGAGTAGTTTTCCCTCAATTATATCCCTCGTATTGAGTAGAAAATTACTTTGTCAGATGAAGAGTCGATGGAGGTGCTAAATACTGGGGCCATGTGCTTGTGGGGCAAGCTATCGGAAAACGCTCCTTCTACGGTAACTTTCTTACTGCTGTAAATTCACTTTGGAAGATCAAAGATGTGTTCAACTTGCTGTCTTTGTTGGATGGATTATTTCTTTTCAATTTTTGTTATATTGAGGACATGAAGATGGTTTAAACCGTGGCCATGATTCATAAATGGCAGGCTGTTTATTTTGAAAAATTGGACATCTGATTTATTCGTATTGAGGAGGATTTCAAAGATATACCCATATGGGTTAATCTATCTAACCTACCACTATGTTGCTAGTTTAAAAATCATATCTCCAAAATAACAAGCAAGATAGGGATCCCTCTCATTGTCGAGCCCCCTCACTGCCAAGAGAACACTTATTAGTTTTGCTAGGGTGAGTGTATAAATATCTATTACCTCCATTTGATCTGATGACATAAACATTCAAGATAAAGGTAAAGACATCACCATCCCTACCTCTTATATGAGTGGAAATCATTAACTTACCCCTCATGTGACTCCATTTCAAAATTTCAAGACAACAAAAATAAAGCCAAATAAACGAACCAAAATAAGGCGTCGGGCTGGCGGCAGAGGAACGGAGAGAACTGCGAACGAAACAAAATGCCGAGTCGAAGTAAACGACGGGGGCTCCCGCGTGGTGGCGCCTAATTTCGAAGTTCGGACGGTGCGAGAGGCGAGGCAATGGAGGTAGGAGCATCGATTGGCGTTGATTTCAGGCGGAGTAAGAGTGAAAGAAACGAACAAAACGGGGTGGCTGCGGCTTGCTGTGCGTGAAAAGAGGTAGGCTAGGACAAATTAATAAAATTTGGAAGCGAAAATTGCCAAATAACCTCTGTTTTAAATGTTTTTTATTTTTTTTAGGGGGACAATCCCATCTTGGGCTATGAACAGTTCCGCACTGATCGCCAACATTGTAAGGCATCGTCTCAATATGATCTAAAACTGTTGATGCCTCGTAAGGCTTAAAACTACAAGACAACCATCATGGCTTAAATTTTGTGGTTCCCGTAATAACTTAAACTACTTAAATCCTTTCCACTAACAATGTAAGGGATGCGTCCAAATAGGATCTTCACATGCCTACACCACGTAAGGCTTAACATTTGAAGTTAAATTAAGGCGGGCCATGCATTTTGGTTCTACATCACTCAGAGTATTCGGTTGGCCACCCAACACTACGTATGACTATTCGACTTCCTATTGACAAGTCCCTTTGTCTGAACTGTCAACCATGCCCTGCCTGAATTAGGTTAGCTACCCATCAGCTTTTTGTATGTTCTGTTTGTCACTTTGTGTATCTATTCCCGAACATTTATATCATGATTGGCATTACCTTGTAATAATTAGATAAAGTTTTATTCATTACAAAATCAGATTTCTCGCTTACTTAATAATAATGTAATCGTTTTATCTCTGCATTATTTTCTTTATTATTTTCTTATGTTGCTACTTGTTACATCTTGATAAGCTTTTTAATGAAGATTGTGAGAATACAATTGATTTTAGTGATATTAACACCCTAAATGAAACTAGAGATTTTTATTTTTATTATCGTATTAATAAAATCAATTTAGATAATGCTGGGTAGGTCTACTATGAAAGTTATACATTTATTGAGAGGTTTGATGGAGAAGTATATAGAGAATAAGGAGGATCTACATATGATATTTATTGATTTAGGGAGCATATGATAAAGTTTCTTGAGAAGTGCTCTGGAGAGTTCTAGAAAAAAAAAGGAGTTAATAATACTTATATTCAAGTCATTAAGGATGTGTATGCATGAGCTTTTACTTGTGTTTCACCTTTGACTAAGTATTTCCCCATTTTAGTTGGATTACATCAATGATTAACTTTAAGCCAATATCTTTTTGTCTTGGATGTTCTTACTAGACATTTGCAAGAGTATATACCTCTATGTATGCTTTTTGTTGATGATATTCTTTTTGTTTGATAAGATTAGAGAGAGAGTTGAAGGAAAACTTGAATTATGGAGGTTAATGTTAGAGTATAAAGGTTTTCTTTTGAGTTTCTAATGCCAAATACATGGAGTGTAAGTTTCATATTAATATATCTAGTAGGGGATTATGACTTTGGGCGATCAAGTCGTTAACAAGAGTACTCATTTTAGATATCTCAGGTATATAGTCTAAAATGATGGTGAAATAGATGTGGATATTATTAGTAGAATTCAAATTAGATGGTTAAAATGAAGGAATGCATCGGGCCTATTGTGTGATTGACAAGTACCCCCTCAAACTTAAGGCAAAATCTATAAAATGATGGTAAGACTTGCAATGCTTTATGGTGCAAAATGCTGGCCATTAAAAGAAAAGCATAAAATTAAGTATTGTAGAGATGAGAATATGTAGGTGGATGAGTGGCTTCACTCTTAGAGATAGAATGCAAAACGAGTATATATGTGAAAAGGTTGGAGTAGCTCCTGTGGCAGAAAAGATTAGAAAGAGTTGCCTTAGTTGGTTTGAACACATAAAATGTCAACTTTCTGATGATTCAGTTATGAGAGTTGATATATTAGATTTGACTTATGTTAAGAAAGGTAGAGATGGACCTAAAAAGACTTGGTTAGAAATGACCTTTTTTATTAGATTTAAATGATAATTTGACTCTTAACCGGACATAATGGAGAAGGATTCTTGTAGCCAATGCAACTCAATAGGTCACATCCACCGATCTAAATTTCTAAACAATTCATTTATTATGCTTTTAACTAAATTTAAAAAATAGTTTATAAGAAATGTAATTGACTGATCGTAATATTAATTGCATATATTCATACTAAAGTAATTTGTGCACTGAAAATAAATAAACAAATATTTCATATATTAGAGTAAAAAATAACAGATTTCTCTCAAGCCTTAGACTCATGTATTGGCATATTAGAAAATAAGCCCTTATGACTTCCAATGCTCAGCGCATATCTGATCTTCATAACTAAGCATGTATTTAGCACCATCATATGTATCTAGCACCAGGACATAACTTCCGCCATACATATAAGATATCAGAATCACGTATTCAAAAGCAAATAGTTTCAGAATTTTGTGTAGTGCTTTAACAGTAGGTAATATAACTATTTATTGAGCAGAAATTTGCATAATTTCATAACATTATCAGATTATTAAAGATTATTTAGAATACTATTTTGAAATTTTAATTATAGTATTTTTTGGAACCAAAAGTTTTTTCAAATTTATCAAAAACCTCACATTTTCCAATTTATCAAGTGAAAATTTTCTGAAAATATCTAAATTTTCAAAACTGTTGTATCGATGACCTACAAAAAGTTATGCCATGAATGTTTTGTTGGTAAAAATTTATCAGAGTTTCTCCTTAACAACATTATAAATTGAATTAAGAAATTTTTAAAATTCTTGTATATTTGAAAACTGAGAAATGTAACCTACATTGAGCCATACAACTTTCATAACTGGCCGGCAGCAAAAAATAGACTAAAGTCGTCCAAACCCTAGCTTTCTCTCTCTAGAAATATCTTCTCTCTAGTCGGCTGGCTTGAATGAGAAAATGGGTTTCATTTTATGAAAATATTTATTTTAATGTTAAAATTAGGCCTAGCCCACAACGCTGGACCTAGTGCCGCAACACCCAAATTAAATTGGCAAAAATACAGAGAACTCAAAGCCTCGGCATCACCAAATCCAACGTCATTACCGTCGAAGCAATCAAGGCATTGAAAAATGCCAAACGTAGTCTGATCAGATAAAGAACAATATAATGAAAAATAACAACGCACCTCACACAACAGGCAAATTTTAGGTTATCATAATCAAACGTTCTGGATCGATTTGAAAGTACATGGCACCTAAGTTCCAAGAAAATAATCATCCCAAAGCTTGGACAAACAAAAGCCAGAAACTATTCATTACAAAAGCACAGTAACATCATGCTTCTCCCTTATTAAGGGAAAATTATTTTGTGCGGACACCATATGTCTTATGGAGGTAAATCAGAATACGTCATATCACCCCTTTACTGTATACCGCGGCTATGCACCTGTTGTGTACCAAATGACGTGACGCGCTCTGATTCACCTTTGAAAGATCCGGTGTCTGCACAGAATACTTTCTCCTTATTAGCAGGGTAAGTAAATACCAAGACAAGGATACCTGGAGCATTAAAGCAATCAAATCAAGTAAAACTATACCACTTATCTATCAAATAAGTATTGAATACATAGAGGAGTTTTGGATCATTTGAGCTATAAATGCTACATGAAGTATAATACAATCACACACAGAATGCAAGGGAGAAACAACTTTACAACAAGGTGTGTAAGTCTGAAGCAAATGGAAGACATCTGCATCACCTTACCAACCTACTAGATTGGTATAATTGCACTTGTCGCATCATTTATGCAGATTAAAAAGTTTTTCTGTATTACAACCTGTACAAATTTTAGAAACTGTACAAATTTTAGATCTAAAATTCTCTCAAGTTTCCAAGCAGAGCAACTAAACCAAACTCCTCAAATGAAAACACTTATAGCAACCATTCCAATAGCGTTAAAGACTTGCGTATTGGAAAGAACAGCAAATTCTACGAACGATATCAGTAGAACTGGGCACGAGTGGTTGAGCCAAACTAATATAATTCTAGCTTCATACTCTTTATGCTCCGCTAGCCAAAAACATGTTTCACTTGCCTTTAGAAGTTTGCTTCATATATATAAGCTAGAATGAGTCTTCATTGATTGCAACCCAATAAATGTGTTAACCAGGAACTGATTCAGAGGTTATGGGCAAAGAATTACCTCCATGGGTGCTGTATCCAATGACAGGAATACACCTTTGAACAAAATCAATTAACTGCTTACGCTGGAGCTCATCTGTATGGGGAAGACTTGCACGCAAGAGCTCTACTGGCATTTCTTTGCTTATAGCCCTGTTTAAATCAGATTGAAGTAAGGTAGCACCATGTGACTGCATGAGCAATGATTGCAAAATGCCGTCATATTTGCTTAGGCTGTATTTTGTGAGAAGGACAAAGAAGGCATCAAAAGATGCCTGCCATAGAGCCCTATTGGGCATGCTATGCTTGCTGGAAGTATGAGGGTCAGTAAGGAGGTAGGTTGCTCTGTCAAGAACAAATTTAATTATAATAGAGGCTCCATCACCGGCAGAACTTCCGAGAGGACGGAGAGGTGGCTGCTCTGACGAACAAACAATAGCAGCAAGGCAAGCACTTATTGCATTAAGATCCATGCCTTGCACGCATGAAGAGACGGTTCGAGCAAGATTTATTGTTGTTTCAATGGCGCTTGGATCAGAGGGCAAGCGACCAAATAAAAACCTCAGATGGCGAAAGATGGCCATGCAAACTATGCGAGTAAGCTCACTTCCAGGATAAAGAAGCTGAAGGAAGCGTGAGATCAGCTTGCGACCTTTAGGAAGAGAGATTAACCGAAGGAACACAAGATCATCCTTTGTAGTAAGTCCAACTGAGTAACCAGCTTTACTGGTTCCAAGTGGATCAACAAACTGAAGTGATGCTGCAATACCTTCAAGATAGACTTGCCGCCTCCGCTTGAGTTGGGAGCCACTATCTTGTGATTGGCCAAACTGTAAAATGCGATCAATATCATCCACATCAAGAAGAAGACACATACAATCTTCAATGGTGATTCTGGCAGCAAACATTGGCTCTTGGTCAAGGGGCTTAACAGAAGTTCTCTGTTCGAGGATTTCTTCACCATGAGTGGCTGGTGGTTCACCTTCAAGAAGGGGGCGTGGCCTACGGATGAAAGAAAATGGGATCCTCTGGAGCACATTAACTTGATGATAAGCATGGGGCTCATTAATTGAACGTGTTCGAGAAGGAATGTCTCTGATAAATGATGGATAAAAATGATGCTTCAGCATTGAACCAATAGATTTCTTTGCTGAGCAGGCCATATGATAGTAGTCATCAATGTAGGGATCATTGTGGTGTGTTGCAGCATGTTGAATTCTCAAAATGCTTTCAATTTCTTCTGCAGACATGTATTTTGATCTAAACTGCAATGAAACGCCATGGATCTTCTGGTTGAGAGTGTCAGAACTGTGTTGATGTCGCATGCTTTGTTTTCCTTTTGATTGTTTTGACCTATGTGGTTCTCTCTGTTCAGACATGCCATGAATTGCATCAAATCTATTTTCGTTCATCATAGAGGGGGAAGGATGAGATCTGAACAAATGAGACTGTAATTGGGAAAGATGGGACAGAGATGGGCGGAGATGAACCATCAGTTGTTGCTGATGTGTTAAAAGTTGTGAAGGCATAAACTCGTTTTGATGATGAAGCTGTTGTTGAAACAGCCCCGGTACTGTGGTGGAATTGTCCCCTGAAGAACGAGAAACTTGATTCATCCAGTGATTAGGAGGCCCACGTTTAATGGAAAGATCTGAAGGAGCAAAGTGAGCATGTGGAAAATCACGAGGAAGTCCAGTTAAATGAAGTGATGCAGAAGAGGGTGAGAGATTTTGTCCAGAGAAAGGCAGTTGGCGGCCAGTGGTATGTGAGAGTATGTATGGCTGATGTGGTGAAGGCTGTGATTGACCACTAGAGGGGAGTGATATGAAGGATGATTTGGGTACAAAAATTGGTTCACTCAATTGTTGTTGTAGCCGCGGTTGTTGAGGGTAAGTAGATGTTCTGTACAATAACTTGGAGTCGGATGGCCGGGATGAAGGTTGCGACCACCATCTTTTACCATCTTGAATATTTTCAGCATCTAATATCTGCTGATCTAACCAGTTTGAAAAGTCTGATTCCTGTGTCCAGTCTACAGTGGAAGAACCTGAAGAATTTACAAGAAACCTTTAGCTGAATGAAGCATAAATAAAAAGTTTTGCATTTCTTAAAACATAATTTTCAGTTATAAAGTCAGTCCCAGCATACAACAGAAAAACAGAAATCAAGCATCACAAGTCACTTCGACAGAAGCCCAATCAAAATAATCCAAACAGTTTCTAAGAACTCAAGCATACATAGGCAAAACTCTACCTCCCCTCTCTCTATTAATTTGTTCTGGGGGGCACAGACATGGGGCTATGTTCTATAATCCTTGTAGATAATGAAAAACAATACATAAAATGCTGCTTAGAAGTTTCTTAATCAAATAAACATTCAAGCATCACTAAAATCATGAAAATAATTTATCTGATATACGACAATTACACTAAACTTCATCTTGCAGATTGATACACTGTACAGTGGCTTTTACAATTTTTACCAACATAAACAAGGAGCGCAAGCACCACAAGAAACGGGAATGATAACAGAAGAATTTCATTTATGGAAATTATATCACACTTTTAAGGTGAACAGTATGCATGAAGCTACAATAAGCAAGTAATTATGAGTAACCAAAAAAAAAACATTGAAAATAAATTGTTATATAAGGATAACAACAGCATTGAAACATCATACATTCAAATTAAGGCCCCCATCACTATACCCTTATTTTCTTACATATGATCATCTCCCAATTTTCAAGGCAAAGAAACTAGTAGTCATAATACACATCTATGCAACTCAATTTGGTCTATTGGTTGGGAGCGTTGGCTATTAATCAAGAGATCTTGGGTTTGAGTCTTGCTCCCTTGCCTGTGTCTCAACTTACAAATTCATTCGTATAAAACAATTATGTAATATACTTCTACAAGGCAAGTTCTACCGCCCATGGTTTCCCAATCGCATGAAGCGCCTTGAGAAGAAACAATAAAACCATTTTTAAATCAAGAAATTAAAGCGAGAACAAAAAACCAGTAAAAAAAAAAGTTGATGCCAAGGGTCTGAGATAAGAGAATTAAAGTAAAAATGAATTGTATTGGCAAGCAATACTCACTTTCTCTAGAATGGGACCCTCTTCTATCACCAATAACGCCTGCACTCTTTGGTTCACTAACAGTTCTGTTCAACTGAAAGCACAAAAGAAAAACAATCAAGGATTCTGAAATTGTAGTTATCATACATAATACAAATGAGTGGCCTACTCAATTCAGATAATGAAACTGCACGAGCTTTAATGCACAATATTCAAGAAAATGCTGGAGTAATTCAGCATATGAAGAAGGGTACACACCAGTATTTACAAAACAAAGACCATTGTGCATATTGGAGAACAAATATGCAAAGCCTGTAACCATTATTTCCTTGAACTTAAAAGAACAGGGGTATGAAAATAGCAGCTCCTAATATCACCCAACTATAGGAATGTTCTGAAAGATAATTTGTATTTAACTAGAAGCCTTGTCATTGCATTTAATTTCATAAATTTAGCTCCATAAATATCATAAATAGCACGTGGTATTTAAGTAATTAAACTACAAATCAGGTAGGAAAGGAACCATAGGATATGGAAGTTGTGCAACTTTAAGATGAGAAAAACTAGAAGTACACTCTGAAACTCATGATAAGCACAAACCAATTTATCATATTATAAGCATACAAAAGCAATACCTAAAGATCACCCTCAAAATTATAATCAATACACCTTAAGACAGCTCAAACATCCTTTAAAAATAACCTCTGCAATTAACGGAAATATGGGGAACCCATAAAACCTTTAACTGAAATCATTAAATGCTCAGTAAAATTTTACAACTTCAGTGTAATAAAGAAAAAACCTTTAATGCGATATTTTATTTTATAAACTAGAATAGAAAGGTGTTAACTTTCAGGAAATTAGGGGATGTGGAGCTACTGTAACAAGTGGAAAACTAGTTATGCATGCAAACATTTGAAAAAGCCAATCAGAGCACATAGAATTAAATTCACTGGATTTCCTGCAAATTACACGACATATGAGATGTATCAGTTTATTCTATAGAAACATAATTAGCGCACACTGGATGCACAGCAACAAATTAAGGGCCGAGACTTTAATGACCCCAGAAAAATAAAAATGCATAATTTTTTTTTTTAATTTTTTTTTCAGAAGTATTAATGCCGCAGAGAAAGAAAGAAAGCACAGTTTTTGCTTTAGGCAACCTCCCATACATAGAACTTAGGAATTTCAAGATGCCTTCAAATGAAAGTAAGGGATGGTAGAGATCAATGAACCTTCGCGAATGTGGTTGCAAGATCATCATCGTATGACGAACACAAAACTTCACCCTGCCAAACAAAATGACAGTCAGTGTTCAAACTTCAAGGTGCACATCCACAGTAAAGTTATATGCCAATTTAAACGGCCACTTAACAATTAGGCAAACTGATAAAAAACTTGTAAAAAGGCACAAATAGAAGCGTAGATATTATCAGAAGTATTTTTTTTTTATCATACAATTAGAAAGACAAATAGAGTGAAGAGGTTTTGTAAATTTGAAATATCTCAAGAGGCTGTCATCACTCAACTTCACAATTACTTTTATGCAATAGAAGCGTAGATATTATCTCAATTATTTTTTTGATCATTCAATTAGAAAGAGAACTAGAGTGATGTGGTTTTGTAAATTTGAAATATCTAAAGAGGCTGTCACCTTCACAGTTACTTTTAGGCAATACCGCGCAAACCAATTTGTCCTTCCTTGACCACAGGAAAGAATAAAAGAAACAAAACATATTACTAAAAACAGCTAAACGAAGTATCCAAGAAAACTATCCATAAATTATTGATTCTTCTGTAACTAGAATTTCTAGTCGGTACAACAGCTTCTTTGACTTAAATGAAACATTAAAGTCAGTTGCTTTACATATTCAATCAATATAACTGGAATGTTGCTCAGAATATTGCCTATTTTCCTGAACATTTAAAAATTAAAACCGACAGACAATTTTCTTTTCCCAGACACTGATCTCAATTTGTTTCTCAAACATTGAAGTCCTTGACTTGGTTTGATTTTTAAGCTCATTATGTGAATTTGACTGATTTCAGATTCATGAAGGGAACGAGTTGAGTGAGATTGTTAAGAGTCATATTTGCAGCTTTAGTTTATTATCTTGTATTTTGTGTTATTCTTTTGTAACCAAAAGGTTGTGATTGATAGATGTTATAGATTGAACTTCTAGTTATTGTATATAACTTTTGATTAGTGATGTATATGTTAGCAAATGATATGATTGTGGGCTCCGAAAATTCGGCCCCAGCCTCCCCGCCGCGCAATTTTCTTTTTTTATTCGGCGAGGGAGTTTTAACGAACTAAGTTCCGGGGTAAATTTTGGAAGGCAGATGGGTTTGTAGATAAGACACTACCTAGAGATTTCTCCCTCATTTTGTGAGGACTTTATGATCTGAGTTCTGGTTTCCTATAGGCGCAAGCCCCTATAGTTAATTACCCCTCCCGATCACGAGAGAGAACTTTCGATTAAGGCTAGTCGTCGATCAGAAACGTAGAGTATACGTGTTATCTGACATATAGTAGCAGCATTGGGTTTAGGTATTGGTAGAAATTGAATTTGGAAATTGGGTTTGGATTTGGGTATTTGTAAAGGTTTGGAAAGTTTTGGGAATTTGGAGAATTGGAAGATTTGGAAATTTGATATTTAAAACAGAAGTTTCACCATCTTTCACTTAAAGCGGATGGTGGGGGAATGGATGATGGGCCCGATCAAGATCCCATGGTTCCGTCGTCCCGGGCCATCATGGTCCCTGGTCTACTTAGTCAGAGGAGGTAGTCGACCCAACCTGACAGAATTATCCTTGTCGGCAGCCATGGGTTGCTTCGTCCAAGGGGACCTTGTAGACCAGGGTTGAATGTTTGTCTAAGGGGACAAATTTGCATCCACCTTAGCTAACAGAGGGCTTTGTGCCCTATCGATCATATCCTATTGATTCATATCTCAAGGATTTGATGCCAATAAGGATCGTAACGGCGCTGGCCATAACCGGTATATCGTGGTGCCATTTGGCGGCAAAACCACTTGGTTCAGAGGGCCCCGGGTCGTCGTAACCGTTTATCCTGCGGTGCCATTTGGCGGCAAAACCGCCGGTTAGAGGACACGTACCACGTCCTTACTGGCAAAAGATTGTTTGAGAATGGATCCTAGTGATATTTTCGACTAGGCATTTGGCTCTTTGTGAGCTAGAGTTATATTTGAATTTGTCCACCCTGGCAGACTGTTGCGGAGGGTGGATGGTTTTTGCTTTAAATACGGATGGATGATTTCAATTTTAAATATTTTTTGGATTTTTGGGATTTTGAGATTTTTGTGGAGCTTTGGATTTTTGGATTTTTATAGGTATTGGGTGGTAGCTTATGAATATTGGATATATGGAGAATTGAAAAATATGGGAAACCCCTCGTTGAGATCTGATTCAACACGGCATCATCGGGGTGTTGTGGGGTCATTTCTTTTATGGATGAACCTGTCAACTCTGTCGGCGTCGACAGAGGATCGGTTTGTGGCTTGAGCCCTTTTATTAGTGAATTCATATTGTTGTACGGCCTTGAGCCTATATGAAATGTTTTAAAGCAAATATACGGTCGCCACAACTTTATATTGCTTAATGGGTTTCGAACCCTGTCGACTTCTTATTGACCTGTATAAGGATCGGTTTCGAACCTGAATTCATTTGTCAACCCCGCGCAGCATCCCTAGACGTCACGTGTGTACCAATAACACGCTGCCGGGGCCCATGCGGGTTTTTGATTATATTTACCCCTTTTAGTGTGCCTATGTGTATACAAATTTAAGTGCATCGGTGCGAGGGGTATCCTGGAATGCGACGCTTCTGTCTGCTTGTACGAGCGTTGCAGTTCCGGTGGCGTGGCGTGCAGCTTCTAAATAAATTGTTCGCTGCTCTTGTACAGGGCTAGATTGCTGTCGTGCACTATTTTGTGATTTTTTTCGTAGGCGGTAACATAGTGCACTAACGTAAAGTCTCCCTGCCTTTAAGTTGTAGAACTCGATATAGCTTTGTTGTTAGTCATTGGTATTATCAATATGTAGAATATCATTGTGTAGGCTATCAATTTCATTGAAGAGCTTGAAGTCACTTTAATTTCATCATCCTTTTACCGATGTGATTTTCAATTTGGATGATCATGTTCGTTCATTTGTGATTGATACTATCGAGTTTTGAGGTCTGATTTCTCAAACTTGTGTTATCTCTATGGAACATTACACCCTCTACTGATCTTGATTGAGTAATTTATGATTAGTCAATTAGCGCTTGTGTATCACAAATCCTCTTGCTATTTGAATTGCAATTTAATCGCTGATTCTTGCTTCAAATTGGTTGTATTTTGTGATGATTTTCTCTACAATGTCCCTTGTAGTCCATCCAAGTCAATTATTCAAGTCGCGCTTGAATCAAGTTCTTTCTGGTTTACTTTATTCAAGTCCTTCGCATGGTCAACATTCAACTCTTCCTTATTTTTGGAGTTATCAAGTTATGGCAATCGTTCAATATTTCATACAATGTCCGCGAGCCGATTGATAGTCTAACCACCAACACCCTCTTGGAATGTAATATCAGTTACTCATTTCTGGAGAGAGAACTTGAACATATCTTCTGATTATGTTTTCTATGCAGGTCCATCAAGGAGCGAAAGAGGTGATGCAGTTATCAGGAGCCGTCCTAGAAGACAAGTCTTCTCAAAATTTCATTTGTCATAGGGATCTTTTGGCACCTGGATATCATGACACATCTCTTATGGCTTCTCTTGATATAAATTCTCCTCCTACTTGAAAGATAGTCATTATGTATGAATAACTTGTGACCCATAGTCATCAACATCTTACTGCCATTCGACAGTGCTCGTCTGCCGAAGCTGACTTGTTGTTGCTACTAACCGAAAGTTTCATATCACAAGAGTATTGTAGTGACTGTCAGTGCTCTCTAGCATATAAAGAAAAAACCTCATTTCTTTTTATAACTTATGACCTCATTTTCAAATGAGAGGCTTTTGATTCAAATCAATCGTTATCAATGCGCCCATTTGAGTCTGAGTCCTATTGAGTTTGAGTTCAATTTTGCATGAGTTTCGTTCATTCATTTTGAGCTTGGTTCAACTCAAATGCTTCATTTAGAAACAAGTCCATATTTCTTAGTTCATCTTTGGGTCCTTTGATATTTTATGTCAAATTCAAGCTAGTCCACCATGATGAAGTTCAAGTTATCTTGCTTTTAACTCCTTGCCATGTTCATGTTCAAGTCAAAGCTTCTCGCTCCAAAACCATTTGAGTTCAAGGACTCATCTAACTCAGTCCACATCATGAGTTCAAGTTCAA